ACATACCTTATGTACTAATATACCTTATACTAATGTACATACCTATACTAATGCATTTACATGTACTTATGGTATTTGTGTATTAGTTACTATAAGGTGGTATATCAGATTACTTAAGGATAAGTTCACCTTATTACATTAAAAGCTAAAAGGATGTACTCAATTCACCCATTACCCCTCTTTCCTTCCTTTTTATGATACAATACATTAAGTACATGTAGTTCATTAAACCCAATACATTATGTACATGTAGTTCATTAAACCCAATCCATTATGTACACGTAGTTCATTAAACCCAATACATTATGTACATGTAGTTCATTAAACCCAATACATTATGTACATGTAGTTCATTAAACCCAATACATTATGTACATGTAGTTCATTAAACCCAATACATTATGTACATGTAGTTCATTAAACCCAATACATTAAGTACATGTAGTTCATTAAACCCAATACATTATGTACATGTAGTTCATTAAACCCAATCCATTATGTACACGTAGTTCATTAAACCCAATACATTATGTACATGTAGTTCATTAAACCCAATACATTATGTACATGTAGTTCATTAAACCCAATACATTATGTACATGTAGTTCATTAAACCCAATACATTATGTACATGTAGTTCATTAAACCCAATACATTATGTCAAGAGTGGATTATGTACATGTATCCATACCTGGTTGTTGGTGTTTTTATTAATGGTTGAATATAGTCCAGTAGCACCAGTAGACAGACCCTGTTGACCCTTATTCTATTAATAATACATTATATGATCCATTTTTAAAAGACTCTCTCATTAATCACTGACCTCTCCCTCTCTCTTCAATACAGAGTATTCCTGTAGTTCCTCAGGATTATAGGCAGGAGGGACAGGAGGAGGAGTATCATCGTCTTGATTGAGTGTTGAATAAAGTGGACCAGCTCCTTGTTGTTGTTGTTGTTTATTCTTTTTCTATTATACATTATTGTTATTGTATGTGTTGTACCGTATACAGCATATATTTCGCGGGGATTAATTTTTGTGATTTTCGCATTTTGGAAAAATTCGCAAAATAGTGTGCTGATTCTATAGTAGGTGTGGTAATTACATTAAATTGCAAAATTTTTTATTTCAAATAGAAAAATGCGGTCAAATCGCGAAATTTTATACCTGCGAAATATATGCCGTATACGGTAGTTTGTTTATTATACCTCTCCCTCTCTCTTCAGTTCAGAGTATTCTTGTACTCCATTAGGATTATAGGCTGGTACTGGTGGGGGAGTATCATCATCATCATCACTGGCTCTAAGAACACTGTACAGACCTAGTGAATATTGTATATTAATAAGTATAGGTTATACACCGAGGTCGAGGTTTCTATGGGATTTATTTACCGAGGGACGCAGTCCCGAGGTAAATAAACCCATAGCAACCTCGTATAACGTAATCTGATTGGTCAATTGCATGGTAGCAAATGTTGTATGTGAGACCGAGGTGTATAACAAACTTCTACCATGCCAAATCTGTAGCTAAGAAACTGCCCATGATTAGCAAGGCTTTATAAAAGCACAAGGCCTCTTTACTTCTTTGTATCTTCTTAAAAGAGACGGAAAAATCTCTTCTCCACTCGCGCCATGTGTGTACAGTAAAACACGCCCAGCACACGCCTTTCCAATCCCACTCCACCCATTAAGAAGTTTATCACATGGTCCAATGCTTTTGAGGCTTTATTTCTTTCTTTTCGATGTTCTTTGCTGCTTTCTCTGCTAAAAATGATTACTCCAGACGCCATAGCTATGCTTCAAGGTAAATAATTAGAAACCTGTTTGCTCCCGGGCTGTCCGCGA